AATAAAATACATACTTTAAACCGTCTAATTACACACCCACCGGACGATTATGACATTTGTGATAAATTCGATTTAATTAAAATTCAACATTTTTGCTTCTAGAAATTGGTCGGCTTAAAGACTCTTAAACAGGTGAATCCGCATAATTAAAACTGCATGTAGATTTAAAAAAGTCTGCAGCTTTAACGAGAACTTTTGGACTTGACGGAGTTAACGAGCTTAATGATGGCTTCTTTTTAACTTTTAAAAAAGTGGGAAACTGGGAAAATTGTAAATATTTTTTGTTCTGAAAGTGAGAACCATTTTTCACGCTTTGTTTGATTTTAATTTGCAAAAGATGGACTGGAAAATTTTCGTTTTAGTTTTTTTATTTTTTAAACTGGAAGAGAAGGTGAATAAATTAACGCTTGGCATAAATAATCGGCGAACGTCTTTCCTCTGTATATTTTTTCGCCGGCCTGTCGAGTTCTTGCACTGACTGGTGTGGTTTCAGTCCACGATTGAAATTTTCGAAGCGTATATAAAAAGATCAATAAAGCGCTTTATTAATGTTTCAAAAATCTCTGATTGTTGTGGTTGCTTTATGAACCCTAAATGAAGCTATCCAAAGACCAAAACGTTGTTAAAATAAACGTTTTACAAAAATAACCAAAAGTAAGAAATTGGTGGCGGTGCTAAATTAAAGGGATGATTAATAGTTTATTAATGAATTTTGTTAATTAATGAACTTTAAAACATCTTTCTAAAATTCTCTTTTATACAAACAGCAATCCTGAAGGATTCATTCCGTCATTTCAATTTCGTAATTTATAGTCAGTTACATTAAATATAAACAATCAATAATTTCGTTATGAGTTCTTTCGACAGCCGAGCTAATTTTGTTCAGTAAGCTCTGTTCAAGAAACGATTGTTGAAATAGGAAGATGGGTACTTTATTTAGATTTATGCGTTGCATCGCTCGGCTTGCGGTAATTAACAAGAGTTTTATCGTTCGTGGGATTGAATTTCACGCTAAGAATATCTTCCATTATACTAGACACTTCTATAACCAAAAAACTTCTCGAATATTTACTACAAGGGCAAATGAAATGCGTACACAATGCCATTAAATCTTTATCGGTAGTTTAATAAGTAATGCACCGATACGCATACGGGTTTTTAATAAAGAATAGTAAATCTCAACCGAAAAGTACGCTAGAACTTAACAAGAATTGTTAGGAAGCGAAGGAAGATTTGCATAAATAATAATTTTAGACACCAGTTTTCTCTGTTATTAGTGTTTTAATATTACAATGTAAATGATAAAACGAAAATTAAGCGTTTTTCTGTTCATCCCTACTAAACATTTGAAAACATTATCTCAAAATTGGGACGTGATGTATACCTACTCTATACGTGTTACCTGTCAGTTTAATTTTATTTTTAAAATTTGAAAACATTTACAGAATAAATTCAATAATTTAAAGATAATTCAGTAAATTGCTTGACATATTTTTCTTAATCTACTCAAGTCGAATAGACCATAGAATGGAACAATTTACATGTATCTATTTAATCAATGCACTAGTTTACTATACACAATCGCTCCAAGACTTTTGTGCTTTGCTTTTGAACTTGCAATTCCATTTTCAGAAGCATTCATGTAATGGCCTTTTGTCCGTATCTGTTGCATGCATCCACATGTATTATTATCATTAATTTCCGGCAGAGACATACTTATTTGAATGTTGAAGAGAGGCGCACTACGTTTCGTCGCGATAAACTAGATTTTAATACAGTATCTTGTTAAGACCCCAACGAGAATACGAGAACTTTCGTAAATTGCAAGATGATGCATTGCCCTTCGTGTTGTGCTCAGCAAGAGCTCGACAAGAACGTCGCCCGTTTTTCTAAACTACCATAAATCACAATTTGTGTAATAAAGGTGGAACATTTTGATTTTTTGGTGGGTGTTTGTTGTGTCCTCGTTGCTAAAAGACTCTTTGAAAAATGTTATGAATTACGAGTGCCAGCAGGGCGAGACCGCTGCGGTAATACCTACACTATTATTTTGGTGTGACGAGGGAAGAAACTGGACGAGGAGAAATGAACGCCGGGTAATCGGAAACACATGCGTACTTACTTAGTATTTTAACATCTAGAAGAACTCGTATAACTGAGGAAAACCTAGAAGAAGTAGTCATTGTTATTAAGAATTGCCAAAGTAGTAGGCCACGACTGGAATCTCGCTGGTGATCGGACGGCAATGAGTATCACTTCCGTGATGCCGAAATCCGATAATTACATACCTATTTAGAAATAAATGTGAACATAGCTTGTTATGCTAGAACTACAATCAAAAAATTGTTCGTGCTGATGTGCTTCTTATGTAGAAAACCCCACCGCCGCTTTAGGCTACCTCTCAGTTTGTTCTCCTAGGCGAATTTTGCTATTAATCGAAAATTAAGTCTGTGATCACATGAAATCAATTGGAAGCTGCTGTTTCTATAATTGAATTAAAATGATGTGAATCCTGGTGCATTCAATACTGTTAAAGAGATTTTGCTCTATTTGCATATAAATAGATTTCCTACATGGTTTATTTTTTCGATATGGATATCAATTGTAACCAGAATGATTATTCTGCAAATTTCATATTATGCTAATTTGATATCAAGCGAGTTGAGTTTATAAAACTTCAAATATCACCAATCACATCGGCAAAAAAGATAACCGTAGGCTCAATATTTCAATTTATGCGGTGGGCGCTTTCCTGACAAATGTTTTCCATTTGCTGAAACAATCATTTCTATAGGAGGTGCCTTTTTTCTTTTCATAGAGTTTGTTTTCACAATATATCGACGCATTCCCGCAGTTATGGCCATATTGCTTCTGTCCGACATAAATTTGAATTAGTGTTGTTTGGGATGATTAGATTTTAACACGGACGGCTTTATTTTGTATGGCTACGACGAGTACAATTTTTTAAATAATTATTTACCAAATTTAACTTTTAGAAGTTTAAAGATCCACATACAACGGTTAAGCATTGTTTTGTTCAGCTATCTCGTTAAGTAACTTTCATCAATAACTTTTATAGTAGGTGTACTAGATAACTGTTTAATTACAGCCATTTCCTTCACCGACGAAATACGATCAAACAAAATTTTTCCACTCAGATAACATCGACGCGACGCTGACGCTGACGCCAAATGCATGCTAGGCTTTTGTTTTTTTTTTTTTGTACGCTCTCGTTTTTTCTGCATTTCTGAGCACGCATAATTTGGCGGTTGTATAAAGTTTTTGTGGGGGTGTCGTCCCTTAAACATGTTTAACATAGTTTGCGCAACTGTGGAGGGGTGTATTAAACGGGCGAAATTAATGTGCAATTACAAATAGTTAAGCGAATTTCGTCTTGTGAGGATAGTTTTGTCGAGAAAGTATCCGTTTTGTTTTACATCGTTGCGTTAGTTGTTCAGCATATTTTGATTTTACAGTCTGTCGTAGTATCTATTTAATAAACTTTTCTAAATTTTAGCAAAACATTAACATTCATCAATCATCATCTTAGATGAATTGATGACATCATCTCGAAAAGTTATACGTTAAATTATTATAAAATTAAAAATTAGAAAAACCTAGCCAAGTCACATTACCTATTTTAGAATTATAGCTATTAATACGAGTATAACGAGAATATTATGCGATTTATAATAGTCGAGGACGTTGTCAGGTGACGAGGCGCAGCCGAGTCACCTAGACAACGTCCAAGACGGTTTAAATCGCTAATATTCGAGTTATGTTCAAAGCTTTATCGTATTATTGACAACGCGTTGCTAAAACAAACATTTTTAATTTTATCGGCTGCGTCAAAAATTTCCTTATTTTTCATCGAGAAACTCCTCATGGAAGAAGATTCTGAAGTGCCTGAACTCGTTACAACAACAGCAAACGTTAGAAGACATTTTATTGGCGTATTTCCTGCATCTAACAAGTCAGTATTCCCCATTTTCTTTGTGGCCAAAATATTCAGTGCTGCGAGCATGTTTAGAATTCAATGAAAGTTTTGCATTCGTCAAGTGTGGTGGGTTGATAAGATTCATCAAAAAGAAGATTGTTGATTACCGAGTTAAAAAATCGCAAGAATTCAGTGTGATGGAACTCAATGACAAGTAGCTTCAAGGATTGCCAGGACTTTCAAATCTATTTCCATAAATCATTTTGTTGTAACTATAGCCCCTAGAAATACATAGTACCGTCACCGTGGAGCAAACCTGGCGGAAACTTCACAAAAACAAAAATTATTAACACCATTTGACAGACCGCGAAATTTAAAATAGTTTTATGTTGGATTTAAAGTTTGTAGTTTATATACAAAATATGGATTTTTAATTTGAATAAAATATAACATTTAATCAATAACATCTTATTTAATAATTATTAGTTATATTAATTGACATTTAAGTGACTTTAAACAAAAAGACCACGCCAAGACCACGTGACAACAACGGTTTACGAGCTGTCAACTCTCTGCTGACACAATGTGGTTCCAAACCAGGGGAATTTTTTGCGTTACCAACTGCATTTGCTCCGCTCGTACAACAATGGATGACGCTACTATGTATTTCTAGGGGCTATAGTTGTTGTAACTAATTATATCCAGGTATCGAACGTATTATGATTTTTAGTACAATTATGATGTACTTAATGTTCAATAAAAGTCAATTAAATTCAATTAAATGACTATAATACGATAAAAATGTTACCGTTATACAAAATTACTAAACAAATCTTGATTTAAGAATACGCCAACTATTTAAAATTATATTGTGCCGCCACTCATGGAAATTTGATCTTTCACTGTAACTGAATCTCAGTATCAGTATTCAGTGTTTCGAATTTTATTAATTCGTAAAAACAATAAAGATAGCGGTGCGTAGGTATCTCAAAACCAGAGTATATAAAGTACAACGTTACACCGAAGGTACTAGTTGCTTATACGTCCGGATGCTGGGCAGGGCCGTACTCGTGCGCTTGCGTTGACCAATCTTATCCTTCAGGCGCGCGGGTTGCCTGTTTTCAGTAGTTTTCAGGATGCGAGCAGAGCTTTCGAATTGTATTTGGCGCTCAACTCTCTCGCAACTGTTTAACTGAGCTTTCGAAACCTTCTTCCTCTAATTTTTAGTGCAGTCGTTGTGAGCAGCTAGTGATTTTCGAGTGGATATGTGGATTTTATTATTTCATCGTCAGCATAACGTAGTGTACAGACATGTGACTTGAATTTATTTATCATCTTTCACAAACTTTGCAAACTTCTTTTCTGTTCTTTCGACATGGAAATAAGGTAAGTTTTTGTTGGAGATCAGAGTAACGAAGAATGCAATTAAATTAATCAATTATAGCCGCACTAATTCATTATACAATAATAATTGAGTCTCTTTTATCTCCACGACAACGTACTAAAACTCGTGTGAATACCGCTTAATTAAAATTCCGTCTATGCGTTCTATAATTTGCGCTAAGTGTTGAAATGGTAAAATTTATGTTGATTTGATTATGTGTACTCCCTTAAAATTGATCGAAACAAAAGTGAATTAATTATAATACCTGCTACGTTGGAAAAAAATTGAATTTCGCTTCATTTTTTCTCATCTTGGTAATAAATTCTACCATATTTGAAACCCCTAAAAGGCTTTTAAATTAAAAAAAATAATAATAATGGCTTTAATGAAAAGTTACCCTGCATTAATTTCGTTTGTTTAGATTTTGGCGTTGAGGGTTTATGTTTATTTTTTTTTATACATTAGAAAATGCAAGTGTTGGTAAACAGTGTGTAGGTGCTTCATCAACAATCAACAAGTCAGAATGTTACACAGACATTGAGGGGGGTTTTCAATTAACTGATTTTAGTGCACCTTTTTTTAGAAAAACCTTAGGAGTCTACATAACAAATTTTGAATATTTGCTGAGTTTTATAGTTGAGTTTTATTTATGAAAATGCATGTTTTAGAGAAATACTTAATATTTAAGCGTGATGGAACTTCACAACTCGAACTGCGATTTTTTTTCGTTTTCTTAACTACTGGGCTTTGTATCAAGTTCTGATAATAAGCTAAATGGTTCGGTAGTTAAAAACTGACTTATTTGTAAATGAATTTGGTTCCTCCTAATTAACATAATGTGATTGAACTCCTACACTTCATTTAATTTAAATAACGAAAATATGCTCCGACATCCAACATTGACGAAATAAAAATGTTTTATTTAAAGTGCGCCATATGAAAACCAGAATGTCTTAACAATGTAACAATATTAAAAATATGCAACGTCCCTTTATCCTATCATTTTTAAATATGATGTAAACCACACATTCGAATACAATCGTTTCTAAAGGATAATCATAAGTATTATCGATTTTTTAAATCGTTTCACCTAGCTGGGAATTGCATTGAAGCATGTTTTTTATTAACACACAAGAGTTAGATAATAGTGTACTGTATGGTGCTAGGACAAGAGGTAATATTTAGGTTCATGCAACAACTGCATTTCAGGGATGTCCGAGTCTTATTGGAGTTAACGATTAATTTGTTACTAGCAAACCAGCTTGTGTTAGGTTATTGTGTTTTTTTTCCTGCTTTTTAAACAAGGAACCTCAGAATGCACATTGACAACGGTAGTGTCGTTGGCATTTATTTTAGTGCATACATTTTGACATTTTGTAGATCATTGATAAATATAAAAAAAATGACGGGATCCAAAACGGAGCCTTGTGGGACTCCATTTAGAACTTTTCCTTGAGCAGATGTTGTAGTATTGGCTTCAACGCATCTGCGTTAAAATATTGGGAGTTTTTGAATTAATAAAGTGTAATTTACGTAAGCGAATGCCTTTGTTACGTCAAATGTCATGTCTGAAGCATATTGTTTGTTTTCAAATGCAGCTAAGAAATTGTTACTAATAGATTTCACAGCTAAAGAACTGCTGTGCTTATATCTAAACCCAAACTGAGCTTTATAGAACACATCATTGCTTCCTAAGTAATAACCAGCTCTTTTTTCAACACCGATTAGAGAAATTGACTGATAATTGTTTACATCATTTTTGTCTCCTTTTTTGTATACAGGTATAACTTTCGATGTTGTTGATATATTTATTGATTAATTTCGTAATCGGGATGACTAGAAGGTTGATTAAGGTTTTTACCATATTTGATGATATAGTGAACGCATTCGTACTGAGATGGCCTCATTTCTGGAACAATGTCTCCAATTCAATGAAGTGTTTGGGAACAATATTTCTACGAATTTATCAATAGAAATATCTGATTTCGGTAGTTTATTATTAAGATTTGGGGCAATATTAAACACAGTAGTATGATACACCTGTTTGCGTATTTGGTCTGAATAAAAGATCGTAGACCATACTAAATTAACAATAGAATTGTATATTTAGAGAGTAGTAATAAATAACAAAAATCATTCACTTGCGATATTGTAATACACTATCCTATCAGTCGCAAATATTTATCCTATTTTGCTCCTCGTCAAACTCCCTAAATTTCTCCTGTTCTTCATTAAGTTCAGATTAAACAGTTCTTGCACCAGACATTTCCATGCAAATGAAACAAAATGCAAATTTTTAGTGTTTGTGTATAGTGTAGTGTGTTACTGGAGACACAGTGATTTTCTAAATTTAAAAACTCCTCGATCCATCATCCACCGAAACCTTCCCAATTCGACCTATAGAACAATTATTACAAGGTGGAATTTGCAATTTCCAAAATATCAATAAGTTTGTTTTTCGGCAACTTTCGGAAACACAAACCTCTAAAATGTTACTTGAATCTAACGTCAAGAGTGAATGTAGGTAATATGTAAGTATTTATAAATTACGTTTTCAACCGCTTGGTCTACCCATCGTAAATTTATCATGACGTTAACCTCAGTTTACAGAAATAATCGTCAGATCTGTTCGGGATTTGCGTACGGAGCATGGATCTTTTGCTTTAAACTACTGTTAAGGAGCCATGACCTCCGAAACTGTCCTGACATAAACGGTTGAAACTTGAGGAAAGAGAAGATACCTTAATTAATTTAAATCGTAGTTTAATTATTTTGTTCTGACTGGCGTGTCGCTGGTTTCTTTAATTAAATCGACGGGTTTTACGGGGTCGTTAAGTGAGAGAGGTATAATCTTCTCCTTTCAAGTTGGTATATATCGGTAATCGTCTGTGTTACTTATGTTATACAGCAATTTAGAAGTACTGCTGATAACAAACATATAGCTTAAAAACGAAACAGCTAATTTATGATGCTGGAGATCTATGAAAATAACGTATTTTTCCCAAATTTAGGGAAATATTAATGCATACCTCTATTGTCATGTTATGCTTTAAAAGTTATGTCTGTTGTTATTGTCAGGCTTCAAATCTAACTATGACCTCTACTTTTTTAGCAAGGCCTGCTAAAGCGCATTCGCCTCCCCGTGTGCACAGTTTGACGGCAACAGAAATTTTAAAATAAAAGTTCGTAGTTAATTTGTATAAGTACGGCAGACTGAACTTTTTGATTCCCTTGCGAACTTGCTTCCTAAACTTGGCATTGAGTTTAAAACCCATCGATTGTGATGAGGAAGTTCGGTCGGTCGCTATATTAACCATCGTGCGGCAAAAACGCTTTTTCACTTTGATGTATGGTATACACGAAGTCAGTCCGGTGTTCAGGTGGTCCATGAAAGCGTCTGCATTTGTCGGGAGATTGAGCAGAATCTCGAAAAACCTCCAACGGCATTTTCATCAACACAGTAAATTTTTATGAAATTTATTGATGATTCGCGTGACCTGTGTGAAGAACGTTTGCTGGAAATTGTGTGCTCGCTCGTGTTTTTTACGCGCGCGTGTGTGTGTGTGTGTGTTTGTAAATTATTGCAAGATCGGAATTATAATTGAAGGGTTCGGAGCATTCATTAATTTAGATCAAGAAATCAAAGCCCGAACGTTTTTACTAGCTTATTATTATTTTATAAATTCACCGGGATGTATTTGTGGATAGATACCCGACCGAATTAATTATGGAAATGTTCATTTAATTGCTTTAATTTAGCCAAAACCCGACGTGATTTTGGTCTGTGCGACCCAGAAGAGAATAAACACATATTGTATCTATAAACAAGCAAGCAACCGCAATAATTCCTATCTAAATTTAATCAAGACGCCGTTTTTCCCCGCTCTGCTAAGTGGATCGCTAATTACGGTTTAAAACAAAATTATGAATGCGAATCTGAGCTCTGTTTAATAAGCCCCAAATTAACGTTTATACCAGGCATTTTTCTTCGACCAGCTGCGAGAAGAAGCTCGCAGTGGAGGTACACTCGGGTGAAGTTTGTGCAAAATCTTACATCTCTTCCGTAGTGTCAGTTTGACACATTACTGTCAACCAGTTGCGTATAAGATTCAAGGCACGTATGTGTGTTAAGAATTATTAGAATCTTTTACTTCCTGAGCGTAAGCTTTACCCCTCGAGGACGAAGAAATATGTCTCTCGTTTCCGTCTGTCTGTCTGTGCGTTTGTCTGTGCATCTGTCTGTCTGCCTGTCTGTCTGTCTGTCCGTCTGGCTGTCTGTGCGTCTGTGTGTCCGTCTGTCCGTCTGTCTGTCTGTTTGTCTGTCCGTCTGACCGTTTATGGCATTAATTTGTAATTTGAGTTTTTTTTTATGAACCGATCCAATTTAATTTTTCCTAGGTGTAATGGCCACGAATTGCACTGATCGTATCATAGGTACGCTTTAGACTTGTTGAAGGGCAACTGTTGTTGTAATTCTAAAAATTGCGAATTCAACTAAGAAGTCGGCTATCAATAAAAGTGTTCAAGTGCACAAACGCGTATATACCTACGTTGCAAATTGCATCATACTTGGAGTCGTCCTACGCCCTGAGTTGCGATTAACATTAAATAATGCTAAAGAGCAAACAAATCTCTGTAATATTTTAAGCTTGTACGAATAAATAAACGAGTATTTTATGAATAGCAAACGGAAGACTATACATACAGTGATCTATTTTTTCTTCCGTGGAGCCCAGCCCACGCGTGAAATTACGAGCGTATCTTGCGTGGGGACATACTGTATAATCGTTACTCGAACAATTAAATGGTCGTCGTTTTATTTTTTTTAAGCCTATCATGAAAATGCTGCGCAGGATGAATTCGATATAAATATCTACGCAATAACTCTTAAATGTTACAAAGTTCCATTTTTTCGTTATTAGATGAAACAATTTTATATCGCATCCTGATTTACTGGCTCGTTAAAAATTACGATCGCTAAAATATGTGAATGTCATTTTTT